CTGCTGAAAAGCCTTGGTGCTACCACATGTGAACACGTTTGGCAACGACTGCAAATCCTGGGCCTAAAGAGAGGACACCTGGGCCTAAATCAAACGCAGTGAACAGACAAGTCACTTTTAGACAAGTTTTCATGTTATTAATGTTTTCTTTGGCCGGCTGGCATTAAGGATTTCTACATTTCTACAAACCCCTCCAATTTCATGTTAAGCTGACACAGGCTTTCTGGAAAACACAAACAAATCAGCACCTTCTGCTAGCCCTGAACGCTGCAAAAGCACCGAGCACCACATTGGGACCTACCCAATGCTGGTCATAATCAGATGGCTGTGTTCTTCCTTCGTCGTCCTCATAGAAAGGTAAGCCTTCTCGCCTGGCCTGATGGTACTCCTTCCGTAACTTCTGGATACGATCAGCATTCCCGCCACCTGCGTACCCACTGAGAAAAATAGAAAATGCTAAATAAAATTCATCTGTACACACATATCTGACACATATCAAGTACCCATATGAGTACACACAGAATTGCTACACCTGAGACAAACAGATTATGAATGTTTGATTCTCCTGACTTGCATGGTGCCCACTGGCCCACATCACCCTTATTTTTGCTTTCTTATATTAATAAAGCTGCTAATTGTGAACTTGATCCTCATTTTTATAAAAGGCTGTCCCTGTCCAAAGAACTTAACAATTCCAGTACAAGACAAGAGACAACAGATGGATACAGACAGATGGGGGAGCACAAGGAAACTTTTAACATTCCTATAGCTATAAATGGCTATCATATTTTAATAATAATGATGATGATGATGATGATAAGCTGCCAAAATATGTTTCCTTTTGCTCCCACGCTAAATGTGGAATTTCCCTAAAATTACATTTGTTCAAGTAAAGAAAGTAAAGAATAAATTATATTCACAGAGAAGCGCAGAAAGAAGTGCCTCCCAATTCTACGAAGAGCTAAAACACCAGCCATGAAAATATATGAGTATGAGAGATGGGAAAGCACATTATCAAATCTCGACACCTTTTTTTAAAGTGGTAATTAAACAGTAATCCACTTAGTAATCCACAAAGACTCACTTGTATGCTGAACTGCATACACTGCAAACTGCTGTAATAAAGCTAGAGGAGTTGCTTAGTTTATCAAGTTAAATGCATGCCTGTCTTTGCAGATTTTGACCTTGGTGAGGCTTCCAAAACCTTACAGCTGGATTTGCACAACTGCAGAAGCTCAAGCTATACCTGGAAGGATTAAAAAAAAAATTCTGAAAATGCTGAAGAATTCAAAAAATCAGAGCCATGATCAAAATGAAGTTTGCTGCAGCTGTTTCCAGCCCTGCTTTAGTGAGCACTGGGCTGAATACTTTGTAGTTCAATAGCATTTACTGGCATTCATAGGGAACCGTCATTGAATTTATCTGTTGTCGCTCCTAAACTTGAACCATCGTTATTGCAGCATATCATCATATATTCTCTTAATCTGCAGCCTTAACTCCGCCTCATCAGCAACGGGCTATAGACATACAGATTTACTCCCATGAGCACAGACTCTGTGGAGCACCCTGTCACATTGCACTCCACTGTAAGTATGCCAGAATCTGGAGAAGCCTTTTGTGGGATTTGCATAGCAAACTGAATTTGGAAAGCACATACAAAAGATTGAATATAAACATACCAGTTCAATAATAAGTAGTTTCTAGTATCTAACAGCAACCTAAATTGGCTGGGAATTAATTACCAATGAAGGAAAATCCCACGTAGGGTGCAGATGCAACTGAATATGCAGTCGGGATTGGATATGTAGCATCAGTATGCTTCCATGAAAATCAAACACTTAAATTACTTGCCTTCTGTAGATCCTAAGCTATCCAACCCCTCTACTCTACGAAGTCCCAGAGGTTTCAAGCTTCTCTAGCTTACTTGCTAAACTCTTCTAGAGCATAAGAAATTTTTCTCATGATCTGCCAAGACACTGCAGAAAGCTAGCACAAACTCTGTGGACTATTGAGAAAAAATAAAAAGCATATTCCCTTTTCCCCTTGATTCTTGCCACGGACAAATGCCTCTGTTCCTTGTACGAACTCTTGTCAAACAGCAGAGAACATTTTCCAGTTTGCAAACACTGGAATTGAGGACAAGCTAATAGGGGCTATCACTTAGAACAGTGAAGCTTGGTCCACAGCTCATGAGCAATACAATATCTGTGAAATCCCCTGACTTTACTTTTGAGTACAGCTAAAGCGTTTAATTAGGCCTGCTAACATACAGATAAGGCCCAAAGTATTGCCTCTGTTGCTTTGCCAACATCATTACTCAAAGCGGTGCGAGCTAAGAGAGTGAAACGCTGAAACGGAGACAACAGGTCTAGTTTGATTCCAGCCGACGTGGCTCCCTGCAGCAATCTGCACACTGTATTAGCATCTGCCACCAGCGCACATACCCATGTTCTACCTCAAGGTACTTGGGCTGAAGAGATAGTCTGAAAATACCATCCAGGTTTGTGTGGTTTTTTAAAATGAAATTTGAGATTGACATATTGCAAGAGGCAGTGACAGCAGCCTGGGCTCCATTCACTGTAGATCTCCTGCATGTGAACTTCCTTCTGCTTAGACTCACCTCGCCAGCATGTGGAGTTAGGTGCTGCAGAGCTCAAGCTGATGATATATATCAAAAGATTGGGCCTGACAGCTTTCTCTTTGGCAAACCTCTGCCATGCCACATTAAGGTACAAACCCTAACCATGAGAATAAGTAGGAACGTCTGAATGAAAGATAGCAGCACATGGGAAGTTATCCATCTGGATTAGTGTGAAAACACAAGCATAATCTCTGTGGAAACAAGCAGCTCCGCGAAGTCTGATTTCCTGTGCTTCTCTCCTGTGGGTTCTCTGGTGTCCGATAATGGGATTGAGTTCACAGTGCAACGCTTCTCCCTAGCAAGAGCATTCGTCTGGGTCTCTCTAGCAGGCTGCTTATTTTCATGAAACTTAGTGATCCCATATCTTTTGAACACTGAGTCACCTGTCAAATCTGGTCAAAAATGGCCAGCAAGTTCAGAATTTGCCAGAAAGGTGGGGGGAACATGTTGGAAGAGGGTTGTTCAGTACATCAGCATCACTTTTTCAGTTAACAATTAAAAGATCCACAGCTCGTCTTTTTTTTTTTTTCTCCAACACTGTTTATAGGCATAAATGTAAAAGATACTTGGCTTTTGAAAGACCTGTATTCTAGTTTACCGTGAAAGTTTTACCCACTCCTGAGTAATGTGAGAAGAATATGATGCCCTGTGCAATGCTCATGAAACAGTTCTGAATTTCAAGTTGGCTCCTGACAATTATGTGAATATATGAACCACATTCAAGCTCACCAGATGAATTCAATCAGCACTGTGCAAATATCGCATACATAATCTATTAGTTTACCCCAAAGAAACTGAAGCATTGAATTCAAACAGAATGAAGTCATCAGTAATAAAAAAAAAAGAAACTGATAAGGCAATATTAAAAAAAACCCACACAATTTTCCAAGATTTGCAGAGGAGATCATACATTGACTGTAAACTATTCTTTCATCTACCTATAAATAGATAATTAAAAAATATTGGTTTGATCAGATAGCAGTTCTCAGACAGGGAAACAGCAGATGAATACCAGTTCAAATGTTTCGGATGCATGACTATTTATACTGAAAAGGAACCCGAACTTACAGAAGAAATATTAAAATGATACTCCAGTTAAAGTCAATTTATATTAAGGAGACTTCACCAAGCCTAGTAAGTACAGCAGACAGACTTATTTTACAGTAGCTTTACATTTAATGTAGTGTTTCCTCCTTGAGGACATAAATATTACGCCCCTCAACATATTAACAATTTTGTGCACAACTCACTTCTCTGACGTGGCTCTCTGTGCTCTTATGTTCTTCAGAGAACCGCGCAACCACACATTTGCCATTCCCCTCCACTGCCATGTGTTGCCAGGCTTTAACTCTTCATCTGCCTGTGGACTTCTCCATTATCACTACAAGACTGTAAGGGAACCATTCACTCTGCATTTTGTGACTGATTTCAGAACGATTTCCTAAAACTGCAGTACATGTAAGGAGACTGATTCAGAAGCAGCCGATAATGGGATAGAACCTAAAGCTTTTCGGGGAAATTTTTAAATACTGTCTAGGTGGGGGGAAAAATCCCTGAGAAACTTTATGAAGAGTTTAGTGAAGACTCAGATGCTGATTGCAAACAACAATAACAAACCCAGTTCAAAATTCCAAGCAATAACCTTAAGAGAAGCTCGATAGTTATTTGAATAACCTGCACACACTGCAAGGATTTTTCTGGGAAAGAGAAAAAATAAATAATAAATATTCTTACATAAAGATTCAAAAAAGGAAAAAGTACAGTCCTGTTGGTCATTATGTAGTTTTGCTAGTCACAAACCAAAGCTTTATTCTGGCCTGGGAGAAAGATAAAAAGCAGTCTGAGGGATGACTCCAACCGATGCTGCTGGGGCTGAGACAGCCAGAAATCACTGTCTTCTGCCCTCTGCACTATGCAGGTTCCATCTTGCCCACTGCGACTGTAAAGAGACCTGCTATGCAACGGCCACTTAACCAGTACAGTTGGAATAGGCATCCCAAACCAGAAAGGAAACCATAATTTGGCAGACTTAGCTTCAAGCTATCTCTAACATTATGTAAAATATGACTGTGACATTTCATCCCATCCTCTCTGAAGAGACAGATGAACAAGCACCATAGCAATAACATTACATATCCAACGTGACAGACATGTTATTTTTTCCAAAGAATCAAAACATCACCATCAGTATTTAATACACATGGCTCAGGTGTGGCACAATAAAATCCGCCCTCCCCCTCCCCTTCTTCCTCTGAGTCACTGATCTGGATTTCAATCATTCAGGTTAAAAATATCATTTTTAAAATTAGTGACTTCTTACTGCAGCTCTCTAGATAACACAAAATTAAAAACAAGTGTTGCACGTACGGAGTAAGATGAACCACTTAGAGCTGTATATAAACATACATTTAAAGATGCAATAAACATTTAGTTTCCAGTGGTTTTCCTAAACACACTAATATTGCACAGGGCTTTTTTGCCAGTCACTTCTTTTAGATGCTGATTTCACCCAGTTGACTGTCAGCCTCTAAACAAACAACTGTGCTTCCAAGTTAAAAAAAAAATTATTCCTTTAGTGAATTTTCCATTAACAAACAAATCCAAGACAAAATGTAATTCACACACACAAGCGAATGGACAATCTTCCATTCACAATCTGCTATAAACCAAACCTGATTTTATATACTCAAAGGAACACAGTGGTCTGCAAAGATATACAGTATAAGGGAATCCCACAGAGCATGTAAGAGTATCTTTCACTTAGAATGAACTTTCATTTTGAAGCTACAACAAATA